GTTTTTATTAAAAAAATTAAACTTTTTAATAAAAACACAGGCAAATTTGCCTGTGTTACAATTTAAGGGATAAATTTCTAAAAATTTTGTAATAAAATTTATCCAATTCCATTCTACACATGCTGATCGAAGCTTAAATATTTTCTAAAAGTTAAACTATATAACAAGTAATTGTAGTTGATCAATTTTTAAAAATTCTAGATATTAAAATATTAACAAATAGTGTAAACAAATCAAATAAAACAAAATTAATAGCAAGGGCTCCTAGTTGGGTTTGGAAGTACATAAAAAAGGATAAATCAAAAGAAAAAATTAGATGTAATATAGTTATAACTAATCTAAATGGAAATAAAAAAAAATGTGATAAAATATTTAGTATTACAACATCAACTACGCACCTTGGTAAACATCTCAATTCTGTTTACCAAATTTTTTCTTATCAACAATACGAAAAAAATTTGGATGGACAAACTATAATAGATCCAGATAAATCAATACCAACCATATCTTTAATGTTTTCAAAAATAGAAGCTTATAAGCCAGTTAAACAACAAAAATTATTATATCATTTGACTGCATAGATAGTTGATGATTGTCAAGCATTGACTGTTATAAAAAGAAAATGTTTTCAACAATTTTGTTATGAGATGGACCCTCTTTTTAAAGTTCCTAGCTTAGCTCTAATTAAAACAAAAATTAGAAAATCAGTGCTTTTTGCTAAAGATCAATTGTGTAATTTAATATTAGAAACAATAGAAATATTTTCTTTTACCATGGATATGTAGACCAGTATATATCATTCTTATATTGGTATAACTATTCATTGGCTTTCAAATAATTTTAAATTATATCAAGCAGTATTAACTATAGAGGAATTTTCTTATTTACACTTGAGAGAATGCCAAGAACAATTTTTATCAAAGATTTTTGAATATTGGAATATATGTAATAAATTGATTGGAGAAACAACTAATAATGATAAATTAATTATTAAAGGAATGTGACTTCTTAGAATACCTTATATACATTGCACTGCCTATACAATTCAATTATCTATTAAAGATGGACTTAATGCTTGTAATAATCTTTTAAATAGAACAAAAAATTAAACAATTGGTTAGTAAAGAAAGATCAATATTATCAAAGTCTTTGTAATATTCAAAATGAATTTAATCAGTTGTTAGAAAGTGTCTTGGAAGACACAGAATAGCCACTATTAGAAAGTAAAAATTCTAAATCAAAACTTGAAGATTTAATGAAACTATTAGAACAACTAATATCACAATTACAAAAAAAAAAATATATATATCTATTGTCGAACACATTTATAATGTAAAGACCAGATGGAATTTGACTTTTTTGGTCTTAAAAAGATTACTTCAATTACGAGGTGCTATAGAGCAACTTGTAAGGTCTTTATATCATCATCTCAATTTTTAACAAAGAAAGGATAAACAAACTTTAAGTGAAAAATTACTCTTAAACACAGAATAGATGGAATTAGAAGAACTAACATTACTTTTAGGTCCTTTTGCTCACACAACAAAATTAATCGGAGGGGCACAATATCCAACTCTTGGTATGATGCTTCCTACTATCTTTCTTTTATTCACACACTTGTACTAAATGAAAGTGTCACTAACTTTATCTAATATAATTAATATTTGTTATCAAATTGAAGATTCTATAACTAAATGTTGGGAAGCACCTTTAATGGAGGCTTACATTTCCTCTTACCTAGATCTTTGCTTCAAAAGTATGTCCTTTGACAAAGAAAAAAAAAAAGAAGTTCAAAAAATAATAGCAGAAATAATAAACACAAATACTATTAATACCTCAGAACAAACTAAAATGGATCAATTTTTTGATAGTGATAATCAATCTGATTATCCATCAGATAATAAATTAGAATAGTATAAACAAGCAATACAAATGAATAAATATTATATAGACTACCACTTTACAAAACCCACAACCCTCTTATCTAGTGAAATACATATCAAAAGGATTACCCAAATTTAGCAACATTAGCTCAAAAATTTCTTGCTTTTCTAGCAACTTCTGTACCCTCTGAACATTTATTCTCTGAAGCAGATAATGTTCTAACAAAAAAACAAAATTGCTTAGATCCAAGTACAGTGCATAATATATTGTTTTTAAAAACAAATTCAGATCTATTTAATGTTTTTCTTGGGCTTGAGTAAAGATTTTTTTTTAGTATAAATTAGCTAGCAGGTACCTTTTTTTTTTTGTTATTCACTTATACTATATAGGCTTTTTTTTTGTTCTTTGCTCATACTATATAGGTTTTTTATTATAGTTAGAGATTATTAGTAGGAAAAAGTATATACGTCTATATCTTAAGAGTATGTGTTTTAGATCTATCTAGATCTATTCATCAGTTATATCAAACTAAAATATCGCAAAATTTAAAAAATTATAAATAAAAAAAATTGTAAGCATTTTGTAATTTGATTGGCTAAAGAACTATATATTGTAAAAAGACTAACCCGGTCGACCCAAGTTGACCTATCAAGTATCAACTCTTGATCCACAGATTTTTCATTGACCTGTATTACTACTTTTACTAAGTAAAAAATAAAATTAAAGTTAAAAAAAAATTTTTTTCTAATTTTAACTTTATTTTTTATTTATTTTTTTTTTTTTTTTTTCGTTTTTTAGGTGGCCTTCTTTGCCTGGGGTCTTTTTTTTTGTAATTATTTGTTTTTACAGTTACAATGAAGAT